CCTATGCAGTTCTTAAGTATCTAAGGGGTGGGATAAGGGTGTATGATCATTGCAGAGCCCTAGAGGGCAGGTGTGTGCAGGGGTCTGGACACACAGAATGGCCACACCCTGTTTCCTGGCATCTGATGGCCTGGCCCTTCCCCCCTGTGAGGTGAGAGCTAAAGGGTTGGAGAACAAAGGAATCAGGTGACCTCCTGGCCGGGAGAAGGGGGGCGGGGGAGGAAGGGACAAAGCCCAGAGCAGGGCGGGGCTGGAGGGAGTTTCAGTTTGGGGCTGCCTGGGACATGGAGTGAAGTGCAGACGTGGTTGTCTGGCTCACTGCCCCCCAAAATGGACCCAGCTGAGGGGTCCTGTTCTCTGCACCTGCAAGCTCTGTGTTAGACCATGTTCCTGTCGTCTAATAAACCTCTGTTTTACTGGCTGGCTGAGAGTCACGTCTGACTGCGAAGTTGGGGTACAGGACCCTCTGGCTTCCCCAGGGCCCCGCATGAGCGGACTCGCTGTGGGAAGCGCACAGAGGGGCAGAGGATGCTGACTGCTCCGAGGTCAGACCCAAGAATGTGGAAGCTGTGTGAGCTGTGTGTCCTGAAGACGACTGCCCCAGAGTCCTGAGGCTTCATGGGGAGCAGTTCCAGAGCATCGCCCAGGGACTCCGTGACAACTGGTGGCAGAGGTGGGATGTACTGCACCCCATGGACAGCGCTTCCTGCAGTAAGTGATGGGGGAGCAGTAAAACGAAGGGGGATTGACAAGGACCAGGCGTGCTGAAGGCTCAGAGAGGAGCGGTTTCGGGGGGCGGTTAACCCCTGGGAGTGTGTGACCAGCGAGAAGGACTGTGCAGTAATGGGGTCCCCCTGGGGACTGCGGTGAACAGTCTCAGGGGCGGAGGAGCCTGCAGCTTGGCCCGGGGAGAGAGAAGGACTTTTGCAGTAACAGGGTTCCCCTGGGGATTGCAGCGAGCGGTCCCAGGGGCGGAGGAGTCTGCAGCTCGACCCTGGCAAAGAGGTGGTGACCTCGAGAAGGGCTGGCACACTAGGGGTTCTCCCTGGAAACCATGGGAAGCTGAGAGCACACAGGCCTGTGAGTCCACAACAACTTGGGAAGAGCGGAGTGATGGCCTGTCACCATCTCCTTAAGAAGGACATTGTAACCCTGTGCAGAAAGAGAGGGTTGAGCATTGGAAAGTTCACCAAAGCACAGTTAATCGTGCAGCTGGAGGAGGATGACCGCTCTAAGGAACAGATTCCTGACCCCAAATGGGGCTATAGCAGGATCTGGGAGCAGCTGGAGTGGTAGCCAGGCATCCCCAAGACTCCCGTCCCCGACCAGATGGGGGTCTTCATGATTGGGTGCCCCATCGGGGGATCGGAGACGGACTGGATTGGAGCTGAGTGCGAGAGAGCAAGAGGACCGTGAGAGACAGCAAGAGTCCAAGAGCGAGCTGCAGAAGCAGCAGCAGCATGGACTGGCGGTGGTGGAGCGGAGGGGCCTAGGGGACCTCCCAGGGGTGAGTGGGGATAGACCCCGGGGGGGCCAGTTCCGCAGGGAACCTCAAGACTAAATTGCTTCCCCTGGTTAAGGAGCGGATGTGGATGCCCACCTCATTGCCTTTGAGCAGGCTGGAGATTTGAACCAGGGGGACCCTGCGGAAAAGCCCCGGTGTCTAGCTCCCTTGCTGGGTTCCAAGGCCATAGACTCCATCACCCAGATGAGTGGGGAGGTGGACAGGCTCCCACTTCTGACCCCAACCTATATGTCTGTGTGGAGTTTCCTGGGGCCAGGCCCCTCGGACCCCCAGTGGGAGCGGAAGGTGATGGTCAATGGGGAGACATTCCTGGGGTGGCGAGATCCTGGGACAGAGAGAACTGTTGTCAGGCTCTGGGTGATGCAGCCTCAGATGCTGAGGGGCTGTGTGAGCTGGGTGAGGGTCCCAGGGATGGAGCCCCTCCCTCTGCCTATGGCCCAGATCCCTGTGCAGACACAGGAGGAGTTGGGCTGGCTGGCCATTGGGGTGCTCCAGGACACCAGCTGCGAGACCTTGTTGTGGGGTGACTGTGTCTCTTTGGAACAGGATCCAGGCCTTGCTCCTGTAACTGCCAAGGGTTTGAATTTGAATCCAGGGAACCAATCGGTGGAGAGGGGGCTCACGCTGGCTCTGATGCAGTGAGGAAAGCAGCGAGCTCCCTGCCTACCCCCACTGGGACAGCAAGGGCAGTGCTGAGCACAGTGGGAGCTGAGACCCCAGCTGATGGGGGGAGACACAGGCAGGGCAGGGGATCTGTGGGGAGTGGCAAGGTGCTTGGTAAGGAAAGTCTGGATGAGCCTAGGCAGCCTTGTGAGCTGATGGCTGTGTCTAGTCAGCAGGGTGGGAAGGCGAGGAGAGTGGAAGATGAGTGTCCCTGGACCTTACCTGTTAGCTGGGTGGAGAAGTGTGACAGTGAAGGAAATGTGCGTGTGTCTGTCAGGGGTATTGATTTGCCTATGGAGGGAGCTACCCTGATCTCCAAGCAGTTGTCTGTGACCAGCCTTGTGTGCTGGGACCAGGGGAATGAGATCCCAAGCTGTGTGTCTGGTAAAGGAGAAAGTGTGTCCGGCTCTTCTTTGTCTGTGGAGCAGACAGAAGGGGCCTTTCAGCCTGTGATGGTTGAGGGTTGTGCAGTTGTCTCAGAGCTGGTTCTGGATCCAGCTAAAGCCCAGGAAGGGAAGGGTCCTAAGTTTGTGTCTGCTCGGGAGAATGGCCCTGTAACTAGGTCGCATCCAGTTAGTGTCTATGTAAAATCCCCGAGACCAGACAACTCTGGTGCTTGTATTTTGCCTGTTGCTAGTGTGTTGTTGGGAAAGGGTGTAGCAACTCTATCTAACCAGGGTGAGATCCTAGCCAGGGCACAAGGAGAGCATGAAGGTGATTTGATTGCGTTACCTACGGAGGGTGTGGAAACCTGTAGCAAGAAGGAAAAGATTCCTGAACTTGTGTGTGGCAAAGGGAAGGAGAATGCTTCTGACCTTTTATCTAGGAAGTCTGTAAGTTTGTCTGAAAGGGGATTGTGTAGGAATCCGCCGGATGGGCCAGAGGTAATTCTGGATGTAAGGGAGACCCAGAAAGAATCTGTTGTTGCTCAGGAAAGTGTTCCTCTAGAGCAAGCCCTTGGTAAAGAGGGTAAGAGCAGAATTTCTGTGAGGGGTAAGAGTAACAGCCGTATTAGTCTGTATTCGCAAAAAGAAAAGGAGTACTTGTGGCACCTTAGAGACTAACCAATTTATTTGAGCATGAGCTTTCGTGAGCTACAGCTCACTTCATCGGATGCATCACTTCACGAAAGCTCATGCTCAAATAAATTGGTTAGTCTCTAAGATGCCACAAGTACTCCTTTTCTTTTTGTGAGGGGTAAATTGTTGCATAGAAAAGCCCCTAGGGAAAGGAATCCTCATGGAGTCTTTGCAAGCAGTTTACTGCAACTGAAGGGTGTGAAAGTGATTTAATCAAGAAAGTTTCAGTTCCTAACGGCCAGAAATTTTCTTTTGTGAATGGATCCACTGACTTTCCTGTTGAAAAATCCAGTGTGGATAGCTTTGAGAAGGTCTCAGATGAAGTGAAAGCTGTTAAGAAAGTTAAACAGTCCTATAACCAAGTGGCTGTGTTTGGCCACCTTGTTGGGGAGAAGACCCAATCCCAGTTTGACCCCCTGGGGTTTTGGGGGTGGCCAAAGGGCACGGGCCACATAAACCTTCCCACATGCGGCCTGCGAGTGCTATCGACCACCCCCGACCTAAGGGAGGGCGTGAAACTGGAAGGGCCTGGTGTAACTCTCACCAAGGAATGGGAGAGATGGTGGGGCATCCATGGGAACGTTGGTGGCTTCGAACTTCCCCAGGTCACTGGCTAAAGTGACCCCACTCAGATCGATCTTGAAGAGGGGAGAGATGTGAGTGGGATTATTCTTAATGTTTCCTCTGAATAGTGTGGGGGTGCCTCAGTTTCCCCTATGCAATTCTTAAGTATCTAGGGGGTGGGATAAGGGTGTATGATTGCTGCAGAGCCCTAGAGGGCAGGTGTGTGCAGGGGTCTGGACACAGAGAATGGCCGACACCCTGTTTCCTGGCAACTGATGGCCTGTCCCTTCCCCCCTGCAAGGTGAGAGCTAAAGGGTTAGAGAACAAAGGAATCAGGTGACCTCCTGGCCCGGGGAAAGGGACAAAGCCCAGAGAAGGAGGGGCTGGAGAGAGTTTCAGTTTGGGGCTGGCTGGGACATGGAGTGAAGGGCAGACGTGGTTGTCTGGCTCACTGCCCCCCAAAATGGACCCAGCTGAGGGGTCCTGTTCTCTGCACCTGCAAGCGCTGTGTTAGACCATGTTCCTGTCGTCTAATAAACCTCTGTTTTACTTGCTGGCTGAGAGTCACGTCTGACTGCGAAGTTGGGGTACAGGACCCTCTGGCTTCCCCAGGACCCCGCATGAGTGGACTCGCTGTGGGAAGCGCATGGAGGGGCAGAGGTCAGACCCAGGAAGGTGGAAGCTGTGTGAGCTGTGTGTCCTGCAGACAGGCTGCTCACAGAAAGGAGACTGCCCCAGAGTCCTGCCTGGCTTCATAGGGAGCAGTTCCAGAGCATTGCCCAGGGACTCCGTGACAGGATTAGATCATCTCATCTGATCTCCTGTATAACACTGGCCATGACATTTCACCCAGTTACCCCCATACTGAGCCCGGTAACTTATATTTGACTAAAGCAGGTCTCCCAGAGAGGCCTCCAGTCTGGATGTGAGGCCAACAAGAGATGGAGAATCCACTACTTCCCTTGTGGAAGGTGCCAGAGAAGGGCCCAGGGCTGGGGTGGTTTTACTGTAGTGGGGGATGGGGTAAGCTCCTCCACCCTAGAGGAGTTACCGAAGTGGGGCTGGCCCTTTGCATCGTGGCCACTGGTTCCCCAGTCCTCGTACTCCACCAGACAGTTCTCTGGGCTCTGCCAGAGAGGAGCTCACCCTGCTTTCTTCCCCTCTTCCAGGGTACAAGACCCTCCTGAAATGCCTGTCTGGGAAATTCTGCCGGCGCGAGCTCATCGGGATAATGGGCCCCTCGGGCGCTGGGAAATCCACGCTCATGAACATCCTGGCTGGTTACAGGTGAGGCAGCTCCCTGGCAGGGAGAGGGCGCAGGGTTCCCTGCTGCATGATTGACCTCTGTGCATGGGACTGACAGCCTGGTGTTCCCCTCTCTCCGGCCAGCCCGGTAGGGATGGGAGCACGGTGCACTGTGATGGAGGCTCCTGGGGGTGGGTTATCCCCGTGGGAGGTAGGGATCTGCACTCACTCCACCTCACCAGCACCGCACCGTGCATCTCGGCCTGTCGCCCTCAGGGAGACGGGGATGAAGGGCCAGATCCTGGTGAATGGCCGGCCGCGGGACCTGCGCACCTTCCGCAAGATGTCCTGCTACATCATGCAGGACGACATGCTGCTGCCGCACCTGACTGTGCTGGAGGCCATGATGGTGAGTGAGTGGGCGGTGGGGGGCAGCAGGACTCAAGGGCTGCTCCAAAAGGGTGGAACAGCAGTGAGGGATTGCTTGCTTGGGAGCTGTGTTTTGGCCCTGCAGTTGGCACAAGACCTGGCCCGGATTAACCCAGCATGGGCTTGCCACTGAGCCCATGGCCGTATGGAGATGTGATGGCATGAGGCCACCTTCCTCCCTGGAGTGATCCCACCAGCCTGGGTGCAGTGAGCACCATTATATGGTTATGGACGCTAGTCAATATGGGGATAGGAACAGAATATATTGAGAACGTAGAACCCAGTTAGGCTTGGGTTTTATAAAACAGCCAGGGGTCCTCAGCTGCTGTTACCGGGGGAGTTTGGTGCTCATGAAAGCTGGGGGAGCTGAGCCAGACTCTGCAGGCAGCTGTGGGCTCCTCTGCAGCTGTGTCCCCTAGTGCGCCCTGTTATCCCAGTTCTGGGCTCCCCCCGCGCACACAGCTCTGCCAATACCCCTCAATCCCGACCCACAGCCCCCCCTGGGCTCCCCCGTGCCCACAGCTCTGCCAATAACGCTCAATCCCAGCCAAGCCCCCTGCTATCACAGCCCTGGGCTCCCCCATGCACACAGCTCTGCCAGTGCCCCTCAGTCCCGACCCACAGCCCCCTGCTATTCCATCCCCTGGATTCTGCTGAGCAGAGTTGAGGACAGAGTGCCTGGCCTACCATGGCATCCTGTGCGGAGGCCGGGAGACCCCTGGTCATTCTGTCTAGGAGCTGGGCAGGCCCCAGTGTGGCTGCCCTCAGGCTCCCCCCGTGTCTGTTCCCTGCCCCGCAGGTGTCTGCTAACCTGAAGCTGAATGAGAAGCAGGAGGTGAAGAAGGAGCTGGTGAGTTGGGGGTCTCTGCTTAGTAGCTGAAGGGTTTCAAGGGAGGGTGGCACGCTCTGGGTAGCATGGCCATGCCCAGAAGGGCCCATCCTGTCCCGCTACCCACAGGGTAAAGGGGCTCCCAGGGCACTGTCACGGAGTCCCTGGGCGATGCTCTGGAACTGCTCCCCATGAAGCCAGTCAGGACTCTGGGGCAGTCGCCTTTCTGTGAGCAGCCTGTCTTCAGGACACACAGCTCACACAGCTTCCACCTTCCTGGGTCTGACCTCGGAGCAGTCAGCATCCTCTGCCCCTCCGTGCGCTTCCCACAGCGAGTCCGCCCAGGCAGGGCTTCTGGGGAAGCCAGAGGGTCCTGCACCCCAACTTCGCAGTCAGACGTGACTCTCAGCCAGCCAGTAAAACAGAGGTTTATTAGATGACAGGGTGGGGCTGTGAGGGGGGCAGTGAGGCGCCCGTGTGGGGCAGGGAGGCTGGCACAGCGACCCCGGGGCCCCGTCAGGGAGTGACCCTCTCTGCTCTGTGCTGGGCCTAGGTGCAGGAGATCCTGACGGCGCTGGGGCTGTTGGAGTGCTCCTACACACGCACCATGTCGCTGTCTGGTGGGCAGCGCAAGCGCCTCGCCATCGCCCTGGAGCTGGTCAACAACCCCCCGGTCATGTTCTTCGACGAGCCAACCAGGTGAGCATGGGGCGGCCCTGCTCTAGCCTGAGCCTGCCGCGTCCCTCCTCGCAGCCCCGTGGGCCCACTCTCCACATGGGGAGCCTCCCTCCTCCACCACTCCAGGCCAGCATGGGGCTCGCCGGCCCCTGGAGCTGCACAGGGGGAGCCAAGCATGAGCAGCGGGGTCACATCTCTTTGCTGCAGCTGAGAAGTTGGAGGGGGGGTCACAGCCAGGGATGAACGTGGATTGACCAGGACGGGAGGCTCTCCCTGCACCAGCTGGAGCGGGGAGCTGTGAGGCACGCTGTGTAGCCAAGCTGGGGGAGTGGGGAGCCCTGCTTTGTTTTAGCAGCCAGGGAGCTCTGCCCTACTAACAGCTCAGGGTCACAGCTGGGCCCCCCCCAGAGTTGGCTCAGGGGCTGCCGAGGTGTCCCTGTATCTGGGGTGTTCATTCTCTCCCCATCCCCATTCCTATACCACCTCATTCTGGCTCCACTCCTCTTCCTCCCTGCTTTCATCCTTTCCCCCACTCCTGATCTCTTTTCCACCTCTTCTATCCATCGCCCTCACACCTCCATCTCCCCCTTTTCTCACTCCCCCTCTCCCCCCACAAACCCGGTTTCCTTCCCTCTTCCCCCCGCTTTTCCTGGCTGCAGTGGCCTGGACAGCGCCTCCTGCTTCCAAGTCGTCTCTTTGATGAGATCCCTGGCCCAGGGAGGCCGCACTATCATCTGCACCATTCACCAGCCCAGCGCCAAGCTCTTCGAAATGTTCGACAAGGTGGGTGAGTCCCCTGCCCGCCCCTGTGCTTTGGGGAGCATCATCTGCTTATCAGAGCTCTGCCTCCAGGGGACAAAGGGGGTCTCTGCAGCTGGCAGGGCCTGTCTGCCCTCAGGTGCTGAGTCGGGGGTATAGAGCTCAGCCATGTAGGCACCCTGCAGACTGACCAAGAGCTAGTGCGGCAGGCAATAGAAAACTGGGACCGACTTCCACCAGCTGTGGAGCAGAGTCCCAGTACCCTGGGGCAGCATCTCTTGGCTGGTGGGCCCCCCACTGGCTCCCCCTTCCCTGTGGGGCAGAGCGCTCCCTGGCTTGCACGAGCCCTAGAAGCCGGAGGTCTCGGGGTCTGGACCATGATGTTTCGTGGGGGACTTGCTGCCATTTCCTGCCCAGGCAGCTTTGTTCTCTCTTCCAGCTGTACATCCTGAGCCAGGGCCAGTGCATCTTCAAAGGGGTGGTGACCAACCTCATCCCCTACCTGAAAGGGCTGGGGCTGCACTGCCCCACCTACCACAACCCCGCTGACTTCAGTAAGTGCCCATGCAAAGCCAGGCTTCCCATGCCTTTCCCTTGGCCTGCAGCCGGCCCCGCCTCTTGCTGGCTGAGCAGGACCAGGACGGCATGGGAGAGCTCCCAGGAGCGGGAGGGCAGAGCCTAGGGGTTGGTGAGTCAGTATGTGACTCCTGGTGTGCTGGTGTGTTTTTCTGGGAGTTGGAGAAGTTTGTGCTGCTCTCCCAGCTGGTGTGGTTCCGTCCTCCCCCGGGGCTCACACCGGATGTGAGATACTTCTTCACTTCCTGCCCTAAGCACTTGTGCTGTGTTACTACTAAACAGCTGCTGCCTTCCACCCCAGAGGTGGCTGCATTTCCTCGGGGATGAGCCCCCTCTAGACCCCTCACAGGGCGAATGAACATTGCAAGGTGCTACAGGAGCCTTCGAGGACCTGGGAGGGCAACGCACTGACAGTTCTCCATGCAGAGTGGCACCAGGCACTCGGGAGTGAGGTGGGGTCTCCCTCCCCACACCTGCCCAAAGTCTGGGGGGGTTATGCCTAAAGTACTGTCCCCCACCCTACCTGGCGTGGGTCAAGGGGCTCTGCCTGGCTACTCCAGCCTTAGCACCTGACCATGGGGAGGTGGCTGCTCCCCTGTGGTCGCCTGCCGTTTCCTGATCATGCTACCTCTGTCATAGCTCCCCATCCCATCTGGGGGACGTTTCCAGGAGCAGACAAGCCTAACTCCCACTCAGCCCTGAGATGGAGGTTAGTACACCCCCCCGGCAATGTGCCGGGGCCAGGGCAGAGGAGGCAGGGTGCCCAGCTGCCCCTGATTGTCAGCCGTGGCTGCGAAGGGCGGGGCAGGGTGGCTAGGCCCGAGGGGTCTCAGTGATTGCTGTTTGGGTTCCCCCCAGTTATCGAAGTGGCCTCGGGCGAGTATGGAGACCTCAACCCATTGCTGTTCCGTGCTGTCCAGAACGGGCTGTGCACCATGGCCGAGAAGAAGAGCAGCCCGGAGAAGACGGACTCGTCCTGCCCAGTCCCCTGCGTGACGGTCAGTGTGGCAGCCCCGAGGCAGGCAGGCCCCGGGGCGTCTTTGCCCCCGATGCCCAGAACCCTGTGGTGCTGGGCTCTGTCCCTCCAGGTGGGGCTAGGCTGTGGGTCAGCTTTGCGGAACGGTCCTGGTGTATCTAGGGAATATCCCTGGGACAGCAGCATCCCTGCCCTCATCACACTGTCCCAGACCCTGGTCGGCTCCAGAGGGGGTGGGTACAGAGCGGCTGAGACTTGGGAGCAGCCCCTGCCTTGTTCCCTCACCCCGAGGGAGTAATGTCCGTCTGTACACCTGTGGAGTTTGGGGTGCCCATCGCTGTGTTAACTGGGCACTGACAGAGCACAGGCCTCTGGCACCAGAGCCACCCTCCCCCCAGGCAGTGCCCCTTGTTCTCTGGGGATCTCCCCACACACCAGAGCACCTGTGCTGTGTCTTCCCTGCTGCCCCCATAGAGCCATTCCCCAGGGTGTGTACAGCAGCCCTGTCGTGGGATGCCCAGGGATGTCCAGGGTGCTGTAGGGAGTGAGACGGTGTCTGGGGTGAGGGGCGTGGCAGGTGCTGGCCTGGCCTGGGCCCATTGTCCCTGAGGTGCTGGGGGTAACAAGGCTCCCCTGGGTGCGGCTGGTGCCCACACTCCCAGCAGGTGCCCATGTGGGGTGGAGGGGGTCTGCATGTCAGGGCTGGGAGCCCCTGGGTCCCTGACTCTCCGTGTCCTCGTCTTGGTCCCCCCGGCACAGGACGTGGATCATATCGAGAGCCACACGTTTGCCACCAGCACCATGACCCAGTTCTGCATCCTCTTCAAGAGAACGTTCCTGTCTATCATGAGAGACACGGTAAGGGAAGGGCGCTGGGGGGCCAGGCCAGGGCCGGGGAAGGGGCAGAGACCAAGGCTGGAGCAGAGGGGACAGGTGCTATGGGGAGCAGGGTCCAGGGTTGGGAGGCAGAGGGAGGGGAGGGGAGGGGACCGGGGGCAGAGGATGGGAAGGTTGGAGGCAGGACTAAGGCACATGCAGAGGGGACGGGGTGGAGAAAGCAGGGACCAGGGCCTGGTGGCTGGAGAAGGGAAGGGAGAGGCTGCATCGTGGGAACTCCCTTACTGCTGGAGCCAGCGGGTGGAGGGGGCCCATCGCTGCCCTTGCTGTTGGGGGTGAACGCTCAGCAAGTGGCCAGGCGTGCCCAGGGCTCATGGTAGTCCCTCTCTGAGTGCAGAGCCCATCTTGCCCCTGCAGGTCTTGACCCACCTGCGGTTCATGTCCCACATCTGCATCGGGGTGCTCATTGGGCTGCTGTACCTGCACATCGGCAACGACGCCGGCAAGGTCTTCAACAACACTGGCTTCCTCTTCTTCTCCATGCTCTTCCTCATGTTCGCCGCCCTGATGCCCACTGTCCTCACATGTACGGCACTCACCTGCCCCCATCTCCCCTAGAGCACTGTGTCTGTCCGGGGGGCTTGCGGGAAGATCCCAGGAGTGAGGGTGGGGCAGGCCCGTCTGGCGGCTGGGAGCTTTCTGTGCTGCACTGAAACACCCGAGCCCGTAACTCCCTCTGCCCAGGCCTAGGGCTTAGCTGGGGTCGCTGCAGGGCAAGTGGGACGAGCCCGGGGTACACTCAGTGCTGACGTTATGGGCAGGAGCTGATGCAGCACAGGGACTCCTTTGGGGGCGCAGTGGAAGAGCCCCGGGCAGGCTAAGAGGTCAGCCCAGTGCCCTGTGATGTGCAGGTCGGGGTGTCAGGCCCCTGGACCACTGGGGATCCCCTAGCTCTGGCAGCTGAGCTCCTCCATGGGGTCCAGCTGGCTTTACCCCTGGGCGGCTCCAGCCAGGCCTGGGAGAGGCTGAGGTTGGGAGTGATGGGCAGGGGGTGGAGTGTAGGTAGTTCCGGGCCCAGTTCGGCTCTTGAGGGTAGACCCCAGTGCCCCTCGCTCCTGGAGGCGCTGGCTCCCGAGGAAGCGGGTGCATCATGGATCAGAACCAGCCACAGCCATGCAACTCCAGCAGGGCTCAGCCACCTCCCAGGAACCCTGGGGAGCTGCTTGGCAGCACTACTGGGCTTCAAGGGTTAGCATCTATCAGTCCTCCCTCGGCTTCTATTTGAGCGAGGAGCCGCTGGGCCCTAGAATGGGGCCGGCACAGGGCACTGCTTGCTGCTAACCTGCTGTGTCCCTCTGTGCCTGCAGTCCCTCTGGAGATGTCTGTGTTCCTGAGAGAGCACCTGAACTACTGGTACAGCCTAAAGGCCTATTACCTGGCCAAGACCATGGCAGATGTGCCCTTCCAGGTGAGGATTCAGCATGGGTGGGTGGGGGGATGAAATAGACTCTCCTAGGTTCGGCCCCTGGGCTGCTCTGCCTACAGGGAGATCCAGGGCTGGCTTCTCCCGGGTTCCTGCCCCTCGTGGCACATCCTGGGCCCTGACCCCATTGGAGAGGTGCAGAGAGGGGGGTTCATAGAGCTCCGGAGGTCCCAGATCCCTGCCCTGTGGAGCTCACAGTATAACTTGGACCACTGTGATGCTTGGGGCCACAGAGCCGGGTGCAGAGACCCCCTCATTGCAGGGCGTAGCATGGAGCCTTAGTGGAGGTGGGTCCTGCTGAACCATCTCCCTTCCACCCCCTGCAGGTGATCTGCCCCATAGCCTACTGCAGCATCGTGTACTGGATGACAGGCCAGCCCCCGGAGGCTACGCGCTTCCTCCTCTTCTCCGCCCTCGCCACTTCCACCGCCCTGGTGGCACAATCCCTGGGGCTTCTGATCGGAGCAGCTTCCACCTCCTTGCAGGTCAGAGGGGGTGCAGGTTTTGGTGGGGACCCTGGGTTACACGACGGGGACAGCCTCTGGCAGAGTTTGCACCCGTCTGCTCTATCAGGGTCAGTAATCGAGCCAGTGATGTGCCAGGGTGTGTGGATTGCAGGTGTGCTAGGGGGTGTCAGCCCTGCAAGGGCGTGGCACCGAAAGCATGAGCGTGCATGTGCGTGGAAGTGTGCGTGCACACGAGGGCATGTGTGTGGCCATGGGTTCGCGTGACACTGGCTGTATGCTGTGCCCCCCCAACCCTCATTGCCATGCCTGACTCTGGCCTGCCTCTGCCTTGCAGGTGGCCACGTTCGTGGGACCGGTCACTGCTATCCCCGTCCTGCTCTTCTCAGGCTTCTTCGTCAGCTTCAAGACCATCCCCACGTACCTGCAGTGGACCTCATATGTCTCCTATGTCAGGTGGGGGCTCGCAGCAGCAGTGGGAACAGGGAACTGGCAACACTCACACGTGGACGGTGACTGCCCTGCATCCCTGCTAATGCTCCCCACAGACGTCCCTCTGGGAAGGCTTTGCAGGGGATTCAGGCCTGGCCCTAGGGCTTGAGGGGAGATCCAGCTACCAGGGACCCCCTCTCAAGCCGTGGCACCTTGCTCCAGGGATGCTGTGGCTGGCGGGTGGTAGGATGCAGGAGAGGCAAGGACCCTGGAGGGATGGTGCCTCCTTGTGGCTGCAGATGGGTTGCACAGACCTGCTGCTTCTTTGAGGACGGAGAGAGCCAGCTTTAGGGGAGATGGTTTTACGTGCATCTGTCTGGCCCGCGGCCACACAGCAGCGCCAGTTCTGCGGCTGGCCAGCCTGATACCCCCAAGTGCTACCAGCACCACTGCTGCCCAGCTCCTTGGTGCACAGCTGTGCTGGGGCCTCTCCCGGCCAGCTCCCTGGCTTGCAGTGATGCTGATGCCAGTCTTGGCAGGTGCAGCAGAATCGGTATCACCCGTGGCTGGCTCTCTGCTGCAGAGCAGGCCAGAGGCTCACCCAGTCCGGTGCCAGGTGAGCAGAAGCCACCCAGTGTGTGTGAAAATCCGGGGTGCAGCTGGAACTAATGTTGCTTGTGCTCTGGCACAGGTATGGCTTTGAGGGCGTCATCCTCACCATCTACGCCATGGAGCGTGAGGACCTGGAGTGCCGGGAGACTCCCTGCCCCTTCCAGAATCCCAGCAGGATCCTCCAGGAGCTGGACGTGGAAGAGGCCAAACTCTACCTGGACTTCATCATCCTGGGCATCTTCTTCCTCATTCTGCGGCTCCTGGCCTACCTGGTCCTCAGGTACAAAGTGAAGTCTGAGAGATAAGGGGGCCATCGGAGCCCGATGCCTTTCCCAGACCTGATCTGCCACAGCATGGACATTCCCAAAGGGATTCTCAGTCTCTGTGGATGTGGGACCACAGGGGAGGCATCGGGGAGGTGGCGGCCAGTCCTGGCTCAGTCGAGAAGGTTTTTTGGGACATCTCGGAACTGTTTTAACCTTTCCACACTCTTCATCGCAAATGTTTTGTACTGTCCTGGAATGCCTCATTCTCTCCCCTGGAGCCGCGTCATCAGATGGATCTTGGATTCCTTCCTCCACCCTGTGCCCCAAACCACCACCTCAGGACACCCACGGAGGCAGCTGTCTTCCAAGCCAGACAAAGAGAGAGCAGCCCGCCAAGAGGCTTTGGGGGAGGGGGTTGCGCTGGTCAGAACCCCGTTTACCTCCCGCAAAGCACAGTTTTGTAGCGCAGCGTGTAGTGCAGTGTTTTAACTTGCCTGCGAGTCGGTGTCCAGTAGCATGTGTATCCATATTAAGAAGAAATCAGAAGACAACAATCGGCTAAGTGGCAGGAGGCTTTCATGTTTACCTTTAGCCATAGTGCCAGCCAATGCCATAGCTCTGGTCTTTTTCTGTAGACTTCCCTTTTTCTTAAGGAAAAACCAAAACCAAAAGACAACCCGGCAGCACTTAGCACAGGAACAAGTACTGTCGCTCTGGGGGGATGCGGGTCGATCAGGCCTCTGCATTTAGGATTTGGCAGGATGTAATATTGGTAGAAACATTTCAATGAAATTTTTTTAAAATGTTTTTTCGGGAGGTGGGAGAGTTTCCGCCCCTGCTGGGTTTGCCACCAGGGCCCTGCCATGTTGGACTACTGCATGAGACCCGGGGAGTGAAGGAGCAAACCTGGCTGGCCATGTTGAAACTGACCAGTTTCCTTGGGAGTTGAGTAAATGGTGAAAAGGAAAGGGGGCGGATTCTCCATTCTCTTACACTGGTGTGAATGGGAGGCAGCTGTCCTGAAGCCAGCAGAGTTAGGTTGGGTTAGGGTGACCAGACAGCGAGTGTGAAAAATCGGTAATAGGAGCCTATATAAGAAAAAGACCCAAAACTCGGGACTGTCCCTTATAAAATTGGGACATCTGGTCACCCTAGGCTGGGTTGAGAGGAGGATCTGGCACAGTGATTGACCTCAGTGGATTTCTGCTCCCCTCTGAAATCAGAATCAGTCCCTAGGGGCCCAATGCTGCAGACCACTTGGGTCTGATTCTCCCAGTTCACCTGCACTTTGCATCGTCACTTACACCTGCACAAAAATCCTGCCGAATCAGAGCGGAGATGTTTTACCCTTGCTTTGCACAAGTGTAAAATGATGACACAAGGTGCGGGGCATTGATGAACCAGCCCCATTGAGATTAGCAGGATGTGGCCCTGAGTGGCACGAAAGGTGCAAAGTAAAGGAGCTCTCCTTTGTGTTTAATAACCCCCAGTCTTGTTACAATGCATGGAAGGACATTTTCATTTGTGGCTGATAATGGGACAATGCCCCTTTTAAAGTTTGGCCTTGCAGCTGAAGCCCTGAATAGCTGAAGACAAACAAATTTCAAAACCTCCCTGAGCTCCCTAATCAGTAATAGAAAAAGCAAGCACAGAATTAAAAATCCCCGGTGTGTTTGTGTTCAGCCCAAAACAGTGTTTACCGTGTGTAGCAGTTGTGTACAGAGCATTTTGCAGGGAGACATTTAGCTGGCGTCAATCGGCATAGCTCCAGTCACATCAGCTGAGGGTCTCCCCTTGTATGAGCTAATTTATTTCGGTGTACACCTGAAGTGGCAGCTCTGTAAAGCTCTTGGTACTTAAAACATGATCCGTAGCTATAACTGGCAAATAACTTGTAGCAGAGGGAATTTCAGGGGCAGGGGAGAAGAGAAGATGATTTCGGCTGAGATTTGGGAAGAACTGGGAGGCAGAGAGCTGAGCTATTTGAAAGCGATTCCTCCCGTCTTTGACATGCCAAGGCTTGAGCTCAGTATTCCATGTTTCCCCTGCAGTAGCTGACAAGCCAGTGTCCAAAGCAAAGTGTTTTCCTGTGCTGCTCAAAGCATTTGCAATGCCTGCAATCAAAGCACCTTGCTCTGCTGGGAGCAGGTCAGGTCTTGCATGCTAATCAGAGTCAGGCTTGGTCAGTGTTTGGATGGGAGTGGTGTTGGAGAGTCAATAGGAATTGTTCTTCCCTTTAGAGGCCATACTGAGCCCATGGTGCCATTAGGGGGAGCTGGTAGTCAAAGAGGTGTCCTTCAGATGAGCCTTGAAGTCCAGGCCCTACAAACTTTAATCTTGTGGCTTGTTTGTCAATCAGGGGTTAGCCTTGGAGTCCTGGCGAAATTCCAGCTCAGGTTTCCCTTCCCTAAAGTCCTTAGCAGCTGCAATCAGAGACAGGATTCTCCTTTGTTTCTTGCCCTGAGGTGCTATGTAGTGTTGCTGTGCTGTGTCAAAGAGCTGCTGTGTTCCAGCCCAGAGGGGGCTGCATGTGTGTAGTTTGTCGAGTGCTTTAGGACCATCCCAGGAGAACGGGTGCTCTAGAAATGGAGGCTCCAGAGCCCTGAACTCGGGTGTTTGTAGGGCAGGGAAGGAGGAGCTCAGTTAAGCTCCACATCTGCTCTGTTACTGGTTTGGGGCTTAAACAAGCCACTGCCACTCCCGTGTTTCAGTTTTCATGGAGGAGATGGGGAGGGAGGGGATTAATGCTGTGGGGCTGCCTAGAGCAGGGGTGGGCAAACTGCCCTGGCCCTGCACCGCTTCCAGAAGCAGCCGGCACCACATCTCTGTGGCCCTGCCTCGCCCCCCCACTCCCCCGGCTCCTCCAGGGAGCCTGCCTTAGCCCCGCTGTGGGCCTCTGCCACCCCGGAGCCGCTCAAGGTAAGCGGCGCCAGGCCAGAGCCTATGCCCCAAACCCCTCCTGAACCTCTCCTGAGTCCCCTGCCACACTCCTCCTGCACCCCAACCCCTTGCCCTGACACCCCTCCCAACCCCCTGCCCCAGCCCTACATTCATGGCCCTGCATGCAATTTCCCCACCCAGATGTAGCCCTCGGGCCAAAAAGTTTGCCCACCCCTGGCCCAGAGCCCTGATCCTGATAAGGGGCAGTATGTAGAGAGCAGAGGACCCAGGTGTTGGAGGGTGAGAGCCAGTGAGATGACCCAGTGCAATTCGATTCAAGCAGCCTGGGGGCTAACAAGGACCCTTCATCACCACTCGCTCCTCTTTCCTCCTTGCTTTCACTCCTTCCCCTCTCTCTTTCTCATTCCCCTTTTCTCTGTCCCTCACTCCATGGGCACAGGCAGGGAAGGTCCTAGGTCCTTGCGTCCGGCCCCTGCGGTCGCTGGGAACCCCATCCTACAGCCCCATCCAGAAACTTACCAGGCTCCACCTTCAAACCAGTCAGGCTGCTTGTCGCCACAGCTCCTCATGAGAGGCTTGGCTGGTGGTTAGAAACTGACACTTTCCCCTTCTCTGCCCTCATCTCTCTTTCCTCCCTTGCTTTCCCTTGGGGCTGGGTTCTAAGCTATCCCGTCTAACTGTGTCGGCGCTGGGGGCTGCCTTCGTTAACTGTATTAGTACCAAAGCTGTGTGTGGCCCAGCCGTGAACATACACTGCATCCCTAACATAACCCCCAGGTCGGTCTATCCGCTCTTGGTGTAGGGAGACCCCCGTGATGGGGTCTGAACCCAGCGTAGGGTCCTGCTCTGCAATAGATTCTCCTCCCGCTCAGCCCTGCAGGAAGCAAGTATGGAGGGGCAGAGATGCTGGGAGCCCTCCAGGCCAATGCCCGGTGTAGCAACGTGCTGCCCACGCTGTCTCAAGGTTGGAACCCATGCCACCTACGCCCAAGACATCCTCCAGTGGTCTAAATCCCTCTCCAGCATCATCTTTGCTCAGTAGCGGCCCGAGCTGCTGCCCCTCCCAGAAGAACTCGGGCTGTTTGTGTGGTGTTTATTGGGTTTCTCTTGCTGGATGGACTGGACCTGAGTTTCTCACTGCACTGCCTCTGGCGGGGGCAGGTGGTGCACGGTGGACACCGGGGGCCATGCAGGAATCAGGAGCTGCTCACCGTGGATCTCCAACCCTCTGGGGGATTTTGAGTCCCAGTTCTCCCAGGCTGGAACTTCTCCCCACCCTTCACCTGCACAGGAACGAATGGGGTCCCTGCCCTGAACTGGACCTGGATCTTAGCTGGGGCAGCGGGATCAAAGCAATAGAAAACTGGATGTGGGCTCCATTGCCTGGTACAGTTCTTCCCTCCCCACCTGTCTCCGGAAGCTGCGTCGCTCCTGCGTCTTGTCTGGTAGTGGGCCATGGCCATGCTGCAGGAGCACAGCTCAGAGACGGGACCAGCTTGGTGCGTCTGGTGGTTCGGAAGGTCGGTTATGGCTTGTGAGCCTCGGTGTGGGACCCTGGCTGCCGAGGTTTGGATTGTGTCTCCCTGGGCTCACTAACCTCTGACCTGCTGTGTGGGGACAAGCATTGCTCACTGACTCCTGAATACAAAGCACAAGGGGTCCCCGGATGGAGCCAGCCAGACTTGCTGAGTGAGCTTTGGGGTCAAGGCTGATTGCTGGGCAGAGACTCCTAGGCCCCAATTCCCTGGTAACTAGATAATCCATGACCTCAGGGGGAATATGGAAAGGGAGACAACAGCAAACCAGCCCCACTGACAAGTCCTGTGTTTGGCCATCAGGGTGGCATGGCCAGGCTGGGTAGCAGAGTCATGGGCTGACCCTCAGGGGACTGAAGAAAGCCGGGGTGTGCTGGCAGGGGAGGGGCTGCTGCCTAGGCTGCCCTGGTCTGTAGATACCTACAGGGCTCTGGAGCTGTCCGGCCAGCACTTTTCCTAGTTCGTACAGGCCGTCAGCCTCCCGTCCCAGCCGCCCTCCTGTGCACGGTGCCTCACTCAGCCTGCTCTAGCTGGCTTCGTTCTCCAGATGGTCAGGTGCCGTCCCAAGTTTTACAGATGGGGTGTGGGACAGACCCCTGGCTTGCGGGGTCGGGGGAGAATGGCTGGCTGGGGTGCCCCCTTTCCCAGGCCCATGATGGCAGCTGTTCTGAGCGGCACTGAACGCACAATGCTGTTGATTGTATGGACTGTGAAAGGAGCACCGGCACATCAAACCTACTATGCCGGATCAATGCCAGGTGGAGAGCTCATCTCTGGGAGGCCACCTGCCCTCAGCCCCTTTGGTATCACGCCTGCTGTCAACCAGGGATGGAGGGAGACTGGGCAAGCACCTCCCAGCTGGCTGCTTTAGTGACCACGCGCCTTTACCCGCACTTCCCAGGGCGTGTGCGGAGACGGGGCCCATGGTCCAGTATGCGAGATGGTTAATGCTGCTAATGTTCGGAGGTGAGGAAATGCTCTGCCTGTCTGAGTCGGATTAGCAGGGTGCTGCTTCATAGGCAGGGGGGATTGCCCCCTCCTCCCAGTGTTAATGGGGGGGGTCACACAGGGATGTCACTGGCAGCAGTCCAGGCAGTGAGCCGCCGTGGCCATGCAGCTGGAGGAAGGCCGGTCTGCTCCAACCTGCTTGGAAGTGGAGTCTTCTCTGTGACTTGCTGCCCGAGACTCCAGCCAAGCTGCTGCTTCAGGTCAGGGACAGCTGTGTAGCCCAGAGGATGCCATCTCCTTCCTTCTCTGCCTGCCTGCCTCCCCATTGCCTACCTCTCCTTGCCCTGGGAAGATGAGGCAGGGGGGCTTTCCCTCCTGTCTCCCCTAGCGTCACAACATGCCAGCCGTACAGGGTACGGGCTGTGACTTGTGTTCCTCTCGGCAGGATGGGGAGAGGTCAGGCAGTTGTGACCCGCCACTCACAGTAATAATGCCGGCTCTTTGTTGATATGTGGTCTGGGGGGTTGATGCAATCCTGTCTCTTCTTTCTCCTTCCTTAAATGGGATCAGAAAAAGCAACCAAAGGGCCTCCTCCCATGCCGGGGAGTTTGACATGAAATTCCCGTCCGCATGGGTGTTGGTGGCAGGGCGTGCTCCAAAGAGGGCAGCTGGGCGTGCCAGAGCTTTGTCGCACCAAGTTCTTTCACATGGCCCGCTGCTCCTAGGATTGTAACAAGTGACTACGATGCACTTTAATAGAGCATGCTCCTTGGGGCGCTTGACATTGCCAGTCACTTTGGGGGGCACTAGGTTCCTTCTGGATGCCAATTTGTGTGGCACCAGGGCTTGGCGCCCCCTCTCTGGGTAGGGAAGTCCTTCCTGCATGTCTCTTTGGGATAATCAGGAGGTGAGTGTTACGGGCAAGGGAGGGTTCTCTGCCCCCTCCCTCTCCATTTTCCAGTCCTGTCCCTTCCTGTAATGTTCCCAAACACTGGGTCCCAATGCACCAGTGGGTCACGGGAAGATTTTAGATGGGTCGTTACATCCAGGGCTGTATTAAACCATCACTGGGCCCTAGGTGAACATACCCTTCTCCCTGCCTGGTGCAGAGGGGAGGCCCAGCAGAGGGGGTGGGTGTCGCAGACAAGCCTGCCCTGCGCTCACCCCACAGAGGCAGCTCCTGTTGCACAGGTCTGGGCCTGGCTCCCTGCTCCAGGCGTTGTGACTGGCGCACAGGGTCACAGGCGTTGTGACTGGTACACCAGCTCACAACACTCGGAGTGGGGAGCAGGACCCAGTCCTGCGGGACAGGAGTCGCCACTGAGGGAGGGAGTACAGGGCAGACTTGGTCTCCAGCCCCTCCCCCAGGACCTCCCCACACACAGGGCTGGGATTCGGGTTCTGGTGCCGGGACAGGGGGTGCATAAATGTAATGGTACGTCACCAAAAAAAGAAACTGCAGTTGGTGGATCACCCCAGTAAAAAGTGTGGGAACCACTGCTGCAAATGCACTTTTAATGGACAGCAAGTCCTTGTTCAGGCTGCTGATTAGGGTTTGTGTGCTTTGCAACATAACCTGAATGACCATATGTGTTTAGCTTCTCTTTAAAACTGCTCCACCCACTGGGAGAGCTACTCCCATCCAAAGGCATGAATGCAACACGTGCAACTTCTCTCTCCGGGCACTCACATAAGCACACACACACACACATACTCTCTGATACAGTCTGGCACACTTGCATGCCCTGATACTCTTATTCACACGTACAGGCGAAGCAGATTCACAATCAAACCACTGGTGCTAAGGCTTGCAAAGGGAAGACGCTGGGCCATGGATGGGGTGGGCGGGCGCATTTCCAGGTCTCCACCTTCCCCTCGAATCAGGCAATAAACGTGTTTTGTTTCGATCCGTGTGGACAAAGTTTGTGTCATCCAGCCACCAAGTGAGCTCCTGGGCCAGAGAGTGTCACATGGCTATCTCAGCTGTTCCATGTTTCCCATCGATATCTCAACATGGCTGGTGTGTGTGTGTTCTAAGTCTCTTTTCAAGTGTTCTTCATGTTTGTATAACCAGATGGGTTTGTATAGGGAGTGCGTGTGTGTGTGTGTGTGTGTACGTGTGTAGCATAGAGAGGTCTGGCCAATAGAATCTGTCACGGGCCACCTAATCATAAGAGGTGTGTCTGTTTAATTGGGACCGCGTCCCACAACCAATGTGTTTCAAACCATGGCTAACAGTCACCGTGAGTCTGTTTAAATGGCTTCATGTGCAAACCCTTTGCTACAGCGGCCAGGTGTGACACGCTGTCTGCCAGCATTCAGGACACATTCTGCGATCTCTTTGTTCACTGGAGGTGGCTACGTGGATCCACATGACCTTGCTATCATTTCCCCAAGCCTGGCCCTCTGCGTATCTTTTCAAAACAAGTGGTGAAAGGGAAGCAAATCTCTCCCAGCCTGAGAGCTCCCCTGGGGAAGCTGGCATGTCTCTTTCCTGATGAGGGTCAGTTCCAGTGAAGAGGATTGTGCTGTCTGCACACACACACATGCAGGTATAGTCTGTAGCTCCTGACTTTATGATGGTGTCTTTGCAGAGACGTTACTAGTTTAATCTTGACCACCATCCAGATTCACAGGGTGACAGGAGTCAGCAGCTAGGCAGACATTTTGCAGTTTAATTCAGTGTTCCTGAGATGCCAGCTGTACTCGTTGGATTTCACACCCTTAATAAAACCTATATTTATACTGTACATGTCAGAGCGCCTCTTCCGTCTCTGGGGGCCTGAAGGGCATGTGCACATGTGTGTCGGGGGTCTAGGCAGTGAATTTGTTTGCCAGTGTGTACATGCTGTTCTGGGAATGTGTGTTTATGTGGGATGAGTGTGCCATGTGGTTTTGAGTGGCTAGGGAACCAGGCGTCTTTTTCTTTGGGGGTGCAGTTGTGAGCTCATGTGTATTGTGTGTAGGGTCAGGGGTATGAGTGTGCGTGTGCCCGTGTGGAGTGTGTTGCTTTGTGTGCAGCGATGCAGGTGCACATGCCCTGAGTAGAGCTGTGAGCGTGTGCAGGGATGCGCGGGTGTGAAGGATGTGAGTGTGGTGGTGAATGTTTGGGGTTGAGAGTGCGTGGGGGTCATCTCGGCAAGTGTGGCTGACGGAGGAGAAACCTCACATGAGCCAGACCCAACATACAGCAGGGGGTTAACCCTGCTCTGAGGGGGTCAAGGTCAGATGGTGTTTAATGATCCAGCTTTGTCTTCATTGTGGGGAGGATGATTCCTACAGGCACTTCCCAGGGCAGGATGCAAGAGGTTCTCTCCTGTCCCTGGTAAGACCCAGGGGCTTCTCTTGTCAAGTAGACAAGCAGGTCTCCCGGTTATTCGTTGCCAGTTGTCATAAATATAAAGGGAAGGGTAAACCCCTTTGAAATCCCTCCTGGCCAGGGGAAAGCTCCTCTCACCTGTAAAGGGTTAAGAAGCTAAAGGTAACCTCGCTGGCACCTGACCAAAATGACCAATGAGGAGACAAGATACTTTCAAAAGCTGGGAGGAGGGAGAGAAACACATGTCAAGGTTCCTCCCCCACTCTGAACTCTAGGGTACAGATGTGGGGACCTGCATGAAAAACCTCCTAAGCTTATCTTTACCAGCTTAGGTCAAAACTTCCCCAAGGTACAAAATATTACACCCGTTATCCTTGGAATGGCCGCTACCACCACCAAACTAATACTGGTTACTGGGGAAGAGCTGTTTGGACGCGTCTTTCCCCCCAAAATACTTCCCAAAACCTTGCACCCCACTTCCTGGACAAGGTTTGGTAAAAAGCCTCACCAATTTGCCTAGGTGACTACAGACCCAGACCCTTGGATCTTAAGAACAATGAAAAAGCATTCAGTGTTTTACAAGAAGACTTTTAATAAAAAATAGCAGTAAATAGAAATAAAGAAATCCCCCCTGTAAAATCAGGATGGTAGATATCTTACAGGGTAATTAGATTCAAAAACATAGAGAACCCCTCTAGGCAAAACCTTAAGTTACAAAAAAGATACACAGACAGAAATAGTTATTCTATTCAGCACAATTCTTTTCTCAGCCATTTAAAGAAATCATAATCTAACACATACCTAGCTAGATTACTTACTAAAAGTTCTAAGCCTCCATTCCTGTTCTGTCCCTGGCCAAGACGACTACAGACAGACACAGACCCTTTGTTTCTCTCCCTCCTCCCAGCTTTTGAAAGTATCTTGTCTCCTCATTGGTCATTTTGGTCAGGTGCCAGCGAGGTTACCTTTAGCTTCTTAACCCTTTACAGGTGAGAGGAGCTTTCCCCTGGCCAGGAGGGATTTCAAAGGGGTTTACCCTTCCCTTTATATTTATGACACCAGTGTAAGTCATTTAGGATTGGAATTCTGCCCTCGCCCAGTGAAAACAGGCACATGAGAGAATGCATACGACACAGGGCTGACACGGCTCCTGTTGGGAGACACTGGGACGGGCATGTCTGCAAGCTCCCCCAGTCAATGCCCCCGCCTCTTTTCCCCATAGCACTTCACCTGGGCCTGGGAGAGCAGGGCCCTGTCCCTAGGCCGCTTCCTTCTGGGAAAGGTTGGGACTGGAGCACCTGGGAGCTTCCCCCATCAAGTGCTCCTCAGTGTTGCTGCAGTAACCACCATCCGTGCAAAGCTCGAGGCACTGGATGGCTGTTGCATTTTTACCCTTCTCATTCAGCGCCTGGGCTGACAGGAAAAGCCAGAAAAGCTCTGAGTCACCTCCCAGGGCGAAACCTTCCCTAGAAACGGATGGGTGTTTGGGTGCCAAACCCCAAAAGACAGTTGTGCCTGTAATACCAAGGAAGGAAGTGGAGAATGACTCCATCCCACCCATGTTCCTGCCTGCTGGGAGCTGTTCCCTGCAGCTGCAAGAGTGGAACCACGGACTGTAACAGGTGAGTTGCAAAATCCCTCTTAGGGCCTTGTCCCCAACCATAACAACAGCAATGGTCATTGTTATTTATGAATGATGTTATCTTAGTGCCTAGCAGCCATCGTCAGGGATCAGGGCCTCGCTCTGCGCGGTGCTGGACGTACACGACAAAAAGATGGTCCCTGCTTCAAACAGGACTCGCCGGTCCTTCCAAACACAGCTAAAATAAAGATTGCTCAGGAGCCATATTTCCTCCCCCTTGTCCTGTCCCCCCCCCCCCTCTGAATCCACTACTGTCTGTCGTCATTGCTCTTTGCGTTAAGCATCTTAACAATTCGCCAGCTCCTTGCCTGGGTAGGTTTGTAAAGCCCAATGCACCCCTCCTTCGGTGCTGAAGCCATACCAATGATCGCTATGGCCATGGGGAATAGCCGGAGGGCCTTGCACAGAGCTTGCTCTACTGATTAGTGTAGACTCTTGAATTTATACTTAATGATGCCACATGATTGTGATGTGCCATCAGCCTGCACAGCACAGGTGTGTTAGTAAAGTTGTTTCAGCAAGGACCTGAGCCTGATTCTGCCCTCATTTCTACAGGTGTAAATCTGAAGTGATGCTCCTGAAGCCAATGGCGTGAAACTGGCATGCAATCAGAATCGGCCTCTTTGGCCCAGATCCTCCAAGGTGTTTAGGTTCCTAACAGCCATAGATTTCCATTGACTTTGAGGCTCTGGGCCTTTTTGCACCGGAATAACTTTCGCAGTGCTAATGGAGGAGCTGTCTTTTGCTCTCCTCTCCCTCTCCTTCTCTGTGGTTTCACCACCCCGGCTTATTTTTGGCAGCTTCCCCAGCTGTAGAGGCAGTGGGAGGGGCCAGAGCTGCAGGAAGTTACAGCTGCAAGGAAGCAGCCAGAGAGAAGCTGTCAGAGAACGAACGAGAAACACAGAAAGGAAAGGGAGGGACGCTCTCTGGCACGGGGCAACATTTAACAGCTGCCAGGGATGGCAGAGATACAACTGCATGCAGTGATGGGTGGGGAAGAGCGATTCCAAATGGACCGAAGGCTGTGGGACTAACACACAGCAGCTGGCTGAGAAAACACTCTAGGTAACTTTTGATCTTCCAGAGTCTCATTTTTCCTCAGTCCCCATTCTCTGAGCCGGCTGGGTCCCTGCTCCCCCTAGTCCGAGCACACAGCGGCTCAGAAGCCAGAGCCCTGATTTCCTTCATCTCTGGCTTTCTCTGGTGGGCTGGGTTCTGAGCAAGGGGCTGGTTTTTAACAGAAACGACTGGTGTATTTCTGCTCTGTGGCGGGGACCGTGTAAGACAGAATGAGCAGGAAACTGGCTTATCTCTCCTAGGCAATGGCAATGGGGTCTGTGGGGTTCATGGCAGCAGGGACCTCTGTGCTGACCTTGTGGGGCTGCCCTGAGCAAAGGCTGCAAAAGTAAGTCCCTAAACTGGTGGCTCTGGGACACTGTGACCCAGTTTGGGTTTCACCCCAAACATGCCCCTCCCAGAGCAGCATCCCTGCCCAGCTATTGATAGAAGTAGAACAGCTGGGACCCCAGGCAGTGGGCTTCACAGCACCCTGCCTTTCAAATTCAGTGGATCTGCTGAGTTACAAGAGCATAGGGGACAGCAAAATGTGCCCGTGAAGTAGGGTGGGCATGGAGCCCTGGACTCGAAGTCAGGACTCCTGGGTTCTAGTCTCAGCTTTGCTAACAAGTGTCTAGTGGTTACCACAAGGGACTCCAAAGCCAGACCTTCTTGGGTTCTATTTCAGCTCTGTTATGGGCCTGCTCTGTACCTCAGTTTCCCCAGCAGTAAAATGGGTATAATCAATGAGACAGACCCTCCTTCAGAAGGGGCTCTGAGATGGGAAGATGAAAAGCATCCGAAAGGGCTCGGTGAGTCGTCGCAGCTCCGGCCCCACTCAAGAGGGCGGCACAGGAGAGCCCAGAGCCCAGGTAGCTTCTCTGGGACCAGAGGTTTCCTGTTGTGTGGTTTGGAAACTCTCAGGGTGCCTGAAACACAAGACAGAGGCGAGGCGAGGCGAGGCTGAGCAGCTTGCTGTGTGGGGATTCCCGCCCAGGTAATGACAGCTTGGGGAGGGAAAGACACCCTGCTCGCATGTCACCTGTTAACCCTTCAGTGCCCTCCCTACATCTACCAGTGATGGAATGCCCCCAGACCCAGCCACAACCACAGCTAAACCCAGGTGCAACGACCAACTCCTTTTCTCACACTGGGCAGGAGTCCCTGAGCCTTACAGCGCAGATTGAGAAGGGCAGGGCTGGCACCCCGCTCCCAGCACTGACAAGCCTCAGAGGAGGCAATGCCCACAACTTGCTGCCCTGGGGACAGTCAGACATGGCCTGGACCAGAGCCTGGTATTAGTCAGTTGAGAGAGGATGAACCAGGTGTTCCCTGGACACATATGTTCTCCTGTTCTGGCTGCTCACAAAGATCATGGATTCAGCAATTGGCAGCAGCTGTCTGGGCTGGAAACAAGCTTGTTCCGCTTTAAATTTGACTCTTGCTCCAGTTTACCCTTGCCTCAGAGTCGCTAAACTCCCGCTGCATTCAACAGGTGTGCAGAGCAAGGGGGCCCCACACCTGCTCGGTGGGGTCCATTCAGCCCTGACAAACATGGATGGCAGCAGCAACCCCACTCCTGACTGTTTTTGGCCCAGACTCTCCAATGCAGCCCCTGGTAGGGTGCTCCCGAGCGCTGCTCTCTGCAAGCCTGAAAGCAGCAGGCCAGATTTCAGCTTGACAGCTGGAGTCTCTCTCCCCTGTTGCTTTAAGGGGAGGAGGCTACGGGTTTG